ATATATATATATATATATATATACACAGGGTAGCCTACGATGTTCCATCATGTCCTTATTAAACACTTTATATGTACCTTTGATGATATATATATTATATTTATTCAACAGTGTTAACGACTAACTTCCTTCAATATTATATACAATATACGACAGTATTTTAATTTGTAGCCGTATCTCCAGATTTATCTGGCCGAACGCCCCCTTGAGGCGCACCATTGTGTAATACAATGTTCTGGACGGTTATTTGGACCTTTTCAACCTTGAAGCCTTCGTGGTCTAGTGGTTATGATGCTCGCCTTCTCAGCGAGAGGTCACAGGTTCTAATCCCGTCGGAGGCATTTTATTACACAATGATTTTTTATAGCACTTTATTCGCTGAAAAGCTACAGGGTAGCCTACGATGTTCCATCATGTCCTTATTAAACACTGTAGGCCGCTCTATGTACCTTTGATGATACAGTATATATTATATTTATTCAGCAGTGTTAACGACTAACTCACAACCGTGAATGTGAAAATGTCCACATGATCTGTCTCTTATACACATCTAGATGTGTATAAGAGACAGATATCATTTTCTACTGTTTGTATCATTTTGATCCAACTCTGCTGTAATTCTGGAGGGTACTTTGGACAATTTCAAATTTCTACGACGCTTGTCGGAAAAGCGCGTCAGGTATCGTAACCATCTTATTATTTATCTTGAACATCGTTCTAACAATTCGGCTCCTAAAGGACTACAATTTCATGTATTCCATTCGCAGATCGTGACTTCCATTCCCGCTGGAATGGCGTCCTTAACAAAAATGCATGTCGATTAAATGAGGTCCTAATTGGCAACTGCCGCGAACTCCTCAAAGACATCGACAACCAAATTCACTTTAGGACTAGAAGGCTAAAAAGAGACCTCCCTATATCTGAGTTTCAAAACAAACTCAAGATTATTGCCAAGGATTGCCTTAAGCTTTCCAAGAAACTTTCCCTGAGGAGACAACACAAATTTGGTCGAGACAATATCACTTCAACACAAGTGATCGAACCTTCGCACAATATTCGGCTTTCACGTAAGCCTAGAAGGTTCATTCGGCGCTTTAGTGATAATCCGTGCAACACCACGGATTCAGTTGTTCAAATTAACTGTCAGCTTTCCGAAGGAGAAACCAAACTTCTATCCCGAGGATTCAAATTTTGCCCAACACCGAGGCAGGCTGACCCACAACAACTATCTTTGGATCTGGAAGCTTTCTTCCGACGTTTAAGATGCCGTGAATTTTTTCGCCGATTCCGACGGCAACACCACGGATAACACAGGCAATGTTACTAAATTAAAACCTAAAAGTACCTGGAATCCCCCTAAGAATCGTTGCCCAGCTTTAGAAACTTTCATTCAGGCCATTGAGGAGGACGTTAAAAACCACACTCCTAGTCAAGATTTCCGCGACAATCTCACAAAAAATGAGAGGCAGGCCATCGCCAATTTGCGTCAGCGTGATGATATTATCATCAAACCAGCTGATAAAGGCTCTTCCACTGTCGTAATGGACATTAAATTCTATGAAGAGGAGTCCTTAAGACAACTAAACAATCCTCTTCACTATCGGAAGCTCACAGAGGACCCCACTCCGGAAATTTCTTAAGGAAGTGGAAAAATCTGTATTAAAGATGGTTAAAAAAGGTTCCATCGATCCCAAAATTGGACCCCATCTCATCCAGGTCGATCCGGCACCAGGACGTTTCTATGTCCTACCCAAAATCCAAAAAAGCAGGCCATCCTGGCAGACCCATTATTTCGGGCAACGGTACTGCTACAGAAAAAAATCTCTGAATATGTGGATGACTTATTGAGACCATATGTTGTTGCTCTCCCCTCGTACATTCAGGACTCCACGGACTTTATCCGCAAAATTAACCAAATTTCAAATTTACCTAATAATACTGCTCTGGCTACATTTGATGTTTCGTCATTATATACTAATATCCCTCATGAAGAAGGTGTTAATGCGTGCATTTCAAATTACAAGCAAATTCGGGGCAAAACCCCATCTAAATCACATCTCCATGAACTTCTGACCAATAATAACTTTGTTTTCGGCGACGGTCATTACCTTCAAATTCATGGCACAGCGATGGGCACCAAAATGGCTCCATCTTTTGCTAACTTATTTATGGGACAATTTGAGGCCAATTTCCTGTCCCTACAGCAAAAGAAACCAGATGTTTGGTTTCGTTACATTGATGATATCTTCATGATCTGGACCCATGGTGAAGATAGTTTGGATACGTTCCTATTGAACATTAATTCGGCTCATACCACAATCAAATTCACTAACAAATCCACAAGCAGTGTAGATTTTTTGGACATCACCGTGACCATGGAAAATGGTGCACTTAAAACTGATCTCTTCCGTAAACCCACGGATAAACATATGTACCTGCTCCCTAGCAGCTGTCACCCCCCGCACTGTAAAAAAAAAACATTCCGTACAGCCAAGCATTGCGCATGAGACGCATTTGTTCTTCGGATTTAGATTTTCAGAATCGAACAGAAGAACTATCCGGACATCTCCAGAATAGAAATTATCATCGAGGACCCATTGAAAATGCTATAAAAAAGCAAAGGACATACCTCTTGCTCAAACACTGACGTAGAAACCACGTCAACGATCGACCAGAGTGCCATTGGTCACAACCTATTACCCTAGGTTACCACCACTAAGGGCTATAATTCAGAAACATATGCCCATTCTACAGACCACAGAACGTCTTAGGTCTGTTTTTCCGGATACACCGTTCATAGCCTTTCGCAGACCACCTAACCTTCGTGATATAGTAGTGCGATCTAAATTCAAGAGGCAAACTAACTCTTGCGACAACCGTAATTTGGGTAGTCATCTTTGTGGTTCATCATGCAAAACATGCTCCTTGCTTGATTCTACACAATCATTCAAGAGCAACCACACAAACCACATATTTCGGATAAGGCAGTCAATTAATTGCCTCACCAAAAATGTCATTTATCTCATATATTGTAATATTTGTGGTAAACAATATGTCGGAGAAACAAACAACACTCTCCGTATGAGAATGACACAACATAGATCAGCTATCAGAGCATCTAAGCTTGATCAACCAGTAGCCGAACATTTCAATTTAGCTGGTCATTCAATTTCAAATTTCAGAGTGATTGCGATTGACCATAATGCCAGTTGGAGCGACAAAAATCGCAAAGATAAAGAGAATCACTGGGAACTTTTACTTAAAACAACCACACCATTTGGACTCAATATTAGGAACGTTCTCCCAGTACACTAAGTTAAACCAATGGCATTTCAATTTATTCTGGATAAATCATGGCTTATTTATTGAGGCTTGCCTCTAAAGTTTAGTTTTGGCCTTCCTGTTTACTTGTTTAGGCTATTTATTCTAATCTCACCCAACCTATTGTTTCCAATCATGCTTGCATGAAATTCTCACTTTATACCATCTAGCTTTTTCTACCCTCACTCACTCGCCACTGAGGAAGGACTAGTGTTGTCCGAAGCTCTGGTTCTATTTCTGGCTGTTTACTTACGTTTACTTTTTAGCTGTTGCTTATCATTTTTGTATCTCTACTGAGATCCAGCCATTGTTTCCCACAGCATTGTTGTTTTCCAGTATTTTGCCTT